AATAAAAATAAAATAAAAATAGTTCTATACTAGATTGCTTAATTTATAGTATAAGATTATTCTTATTAATATTTTACTTTAAAGATATAGTTAGTATAAAATTATAAAATCATATATTTAGAATATTTAGAAAATTAAAATTAGTTACTTACACTTTAGAGAATATAGACTATTTATTAAGCTATCAAGACACTAGCCTTTAGAAAAGGGGATTATTAGAGAATCAAAATATTATAGTTAATAAATTAGATTAATTACTATAAGACTAATATATATTAAAATAAAAAATTATCTGTAAAGTCTTAAAATTAAAATAATAGAGCTAGCAGAGCTGTCGCTATATTAATTATATTAATTAGAATAAAATAAACAAAGCTATTGCTATGTTAGCTATAATGAAGGAAAGTTATATAAGAATGCTTATTTATTATATATTTAGTTTTCTTCTATTGTCTTGAATTAACTGTGATAACTTAAGTATATAATCTTCTATTAATTAGGATATTTATAGCCTTATTCTTATTTCTTTTGTCTACTGAGACCTTTCGACCTTAGAAGCCTATTAACTTCGCCCGTTAATAGCTATCCTAGCTATACTCGACGGTAATTAACCGAAGTTTCCGACAATACAGTTACTATAAAAGTATTTATAGACTACTTTTTATAGATAAATCACATGTAGGGAAGATATAGGGCTAGATATATCTTATAGAAATTATCTTATATTTTAATTTATACTATAGATTATTAAAAGATCTATATAATATTAAAAAAAATAAATAGTTTTTATTAGCTAATATTCTATATTATTGAAACCTTCTAGAAATCTAGATTACTAAGCACCAGCATATAACAGAAATAGTCTATAGGTATCCAGAATAAAAGGAAGTATAAGTAGAAGAAAAGAAGCTAGTAATTATTCTTTCCTTTTCTTCTTCTCTCCAGTTTAATCTCTTCATGTTTAGCAACCAAATAGATTTGGCATTGCATCATCACACTTATTCTTAATAGCTATAAAAGTTATCTTACTATTTAATTTGATTAAATCTACATATAAAACAATATTATATTAATCTATATGCTAGTTCACTCTTTATATCTTTTATAGCCTTTTAATATGAGCTGTTTTGCTATTTTAAAATAATAATATAAATGGTTAGTTGAGCAGTGCATATGATTTGGATATAATTATATTAATAAGCATGATTTTCTTATAGTCTTTCTAGAAGCTTATATAATGGCATATAAAATTAAAATTATTTAAAATAGCTTTATAGTAACTGGATTAGTATCTTTTAATCTAGATTAAGTTTATTAATAGTTTTATATTTAGCTTTAGACCCTGATACCTTTTTTAAAAAATGATAATATTAATTTATAATCTTCTTATTTTTAAATATCTTAAAATCTATACTATTTTAAATACTAATTAAGTATAGTTAAAAAGTATATAGCTTAATAGCTAATAAGCTTATTAAATATAATTAATTAGGTAATTGAGTAAATATTTAAAGTGTATAAAATAATAATAAATGAGCTACTAATTATACAAAAAAAGTATATAATTTATAGACTATAAATAAGAAAGAGAAGTAAAAAAAAAGATGATCTAGGGCTTAATTATCTTATAAAGGCTCTTTTACTACATAAGAAGCTCAGATTCTTATAAATAATTAAAATAAGGTATCTTAACCTTTTTTAGTTGTCTTAGCTGAATCTAAGGCTCAAGCCTCTTAATCATATGTATAAATGCCATCAAAGTGTAGTGGATGTAGAATTATTGGACATAAAATTAATAAATGTTCTAATTGTACTACTAGTTAAATTTTTATATATAATTATTATTTTAGTTAGAAATTTCAGGGTAAAATTAATATAAAGCGCGTTTTCTAGAGGAAGTGGCCGGGTTGGTGCCGTGGCCGGGTGGGTGTCCGGTTACGTTAATTAATTACCTTATTAACTAAACTTAATAGACTTCTTATATACTAGTTTATACACCTCTTTATTATACTCAATTAATATTTAAATTAGTATAGATTTTAAGATATTTATAAGCAGAATAATTAAGTATTACTCAATCAACTTAAAAAAGATATAGAAGTCTTATGTAACGATGCAATGCCAAATCTATTTGGTTGCTAAACACGAAGAGACTAAACTGGAGAGAAGAAGAAGAGGAAAGAATAATTATTAGCTTCTTTCTTTCTACTTATACTTTCTTCTATTCTAGATATCTATAAGCTATCTTTATTATGTGCTGGTGTCTAGTAATTTAGATTTCTAGAAGATTCTAATAATATAGAATACTAGTTAGTAAAGATTATTTATTTTTTTTAATATTATATAAATCCTCTAGTAATCTATAGTATAAATTAAAATATAAAGTAATCTCTATAAGGTATATTTAACCCTACATCTTCCCTGCATGTGATTTATCTATGGAAGGTGGCCCGCGGGTACTTCTGCAGTAACCGCATGCCGCCAAGCCAAATTGTACTAGGCCGTCACATCTTAAACTAAACAGTAAACTATTAATAGACTTAATCTAGATTATATAGCACTAATCTAGTAGCTATAAAGCCCTTCTAAATAGTCTTAGCTTTATATGCTATTATATAAGCCTCTAGAAATACAATAAGAAAATTAATTTTATTAATATAATTAAATCTAAACCTTATCTATTATTTAACAAGCTATTTATATTTCTACTTTATAACTACAAAACAGCTAATATTAAAAGATTGTAAGAGATAAAAGAAATATAGAGATATATAAACTAGAATAATATTATTCTTAGTATATATATAATTAGATTCTATAGTTAAATAATTTTTATAGTTATTAAAAATCAATATTTAATATCTTCCCATTATACAGCTATTTATAAAAGAAATAAAGTGATTTTAAAATCAATCTATACTAATATTATTAGTTATCTATCTATTATCATTAATATTAATTTTCTAATTATCTAAAAGAATCTCAAACCAGTCTTTTTATATATATTTTATTATTTTAAAAATTATATATAAAAATAGAGTCTATTTAATAGAATTAATTATCTTAATTAAAATTATCTATTCTTAATTACTAGATTATAATAGCTTTGAATAGGTATATTAATTATTTCTAATAATAATTTTTACAGTTATATAGAGTCTTATAACAAAGCTAGTCTTATTAAAGTTATAGATATCATTTAATAAAATATTATATTCTAATATAACCTCTTATATATATATATAAAATATTCTTAGATTATTTTTAGATCTTTATATTTAGCATATTTATAGTTATATTTTTAAAAAAATCATAATTTAAGCTTTGAGCGATATTAAACTAGATTATAAATCTATTTTTCTCTAATCTATTGATTTCTATATTAAGAAAAAAGATAATTAGTTATTTCTCATATTATAAATAGCTGGAAAGATAATCCTTATTTATCTAAATCTAATATCCATCTAATAAGCGATTTTTTTTTAAACTAAGTTAATTTATAACTATTAGTATATTTTATATATTTATATTATATTCCTTTTAATCAGTCTTGGAGAGTTATATAAAGGATAATATAAACTTATATAGCTTTATAAATATTTTAAATATTCCTATTTTTTAAATTAAAAATAGCTAATTAAATCTTTCCTTCTAATTCAGCTAATTTTAAAGGATTTTTCTTGCAAATTAGTAATATATTGACGTGTTGAAGTTGTAAGATTGAAATAGAACGTGTTTCCAGGCGGAGGTGGCCGGGTCGCTTACATGGCCGGGTGGCTTACCGGTTACGTTATATATAAAAGAAGAAATAGTTATTAGATATATACTAAATATATACTAAGAGTATATATAAAATTATAGGAAAATAGATCTATATAAATATACTTCTTTCTTATATAGTTAGAAATCTTTTATAACTCTTTAATTTAAGTTACTTAATTATATACTAAGAAGATTAGTAAGACAAACTTACTTAAAATATTATAATACTTTAAGATGCTTTTTCTATTTTAGTTATAATTAACTAATCTTTATTATTAACAAGTCTGAATTATATTTAATCTTATTAATAGATTACTTTTATAAACCTCTATATGGTTCAATCATTGTATCGTACCTCGACACAGCCAGTGACAACTAGGGTGGATCCAGGCGCGTGACACACACAAAGTTAGTAGTTTAGGCTATAAAACTATTCTATTAATTTATTTCTTATATAATCATTATCTATATTATATTTTTATATACACTCTTTATATTCTTTATTTCTATCTTAATCTATATTTTAGCTAGCTTCTAAGATTTCTTAAATAGCTTAAGGAGTAAATATCGCCTTTAACTTAGCAATAGTAAATACTTTGAGAGAGATTAATAATAAGGAAAAAAATTATGGGGGAAGAGAGAGTAGAAATATGAATAGGGATCTCTTTATAGCTATATAACCTAGGATTTTAGTATCCTAGGATGCTGAAACCTAGGTCTTATCTATATAGCCACAATCTATCAGGGAACTAGCTATTGGTATAATAATATATATTAGTGAAGAGAACCAATAGAGACTCATTATTAGGTTATATCTATATGCTTTTAGTGTGGGTTGACTCCACTCCTGGATAGTGTGCTTATAGATTCGCGGCCATATGCATGAGCTCAGATAACGGGGCAACGAGCTTATCTTATACCTTCCAAGGCAGAGTCCTGAAGAAGCGGAGAATGCCTCATGGCCAAAGAGTTGCCATACTGGCGTCTGGATGCAACACAGATACGAGCTTTCCGGCAGAGGTTCTCATGTATTAGCTGTTCTTACCATGTCACATGAACAGTGTCGTGGCGTCCAGCGATATTTCAGCTGGGCCGCGGAGCCAAGGCATGTGAGCCTATAAGCAGGGTCGCTTCTAGGTCCGTGGTCGCACGGATGTGAGTATATAAAGCCCTGGAACGCTGGATTCCCTAGTTTGCAAAATTTTCTCCAATCGTATGCTTACGGCACTCCCTTTAGCATGACGAGCCTTCAGCTCTCTTCTCCAGCTGGGAATGTCCCAGATCGTGCTCCTGAAGTTAATCAGACCTCTTCTCGCGAAGCTGCAACCCAGAGTATTGTGGACTCTCCTCTGTCTACCATTCCTTTCGACGAGACCCCACTGACAATCGAAATCAGTGATGATGAGGACAGTCTTAATGGTTTCACAAGTACGATTTTGAAATACAGGTCCGCGCGATTATATCTATCGCTGGTACTATGATTTAAATTGAATATACGATCACTATATTACTCACCCTATATGAACTGAGAGAGGAGACTCCTGTAGATTTAATATTGAGTGTAGTCTTTCCTACGCCTATTCTACTCGGTATAAACAATCACCAAGATATTCAACAAAAGTTGGCCGTAATAAACGGGCAATTCTAGGAAGTATGATTCACCCAACACAACCCACCACGTTGTTTCACAGCATACATAATTTCTATGTGATAGAATAAAAATAAGACTATGATCAACGGCTGCAGCACAGTATGGTCATAGTACGGGCTGTGATATGGCTGCGACTCTAGTTGGACTTTTGCGAAAGGTAGCTTTTATTTTACCCAAGTATTATTATAGTGATAAGACCGAAATTTAGTAAAATATAGATTAGATACAAACATATAGTCCATTTAGCATTCAAGAGCGTAATTATCACCTCAATTTCTTCATATGATGCCCATGCACAATATCTTTCGATTTCTTCAGCATGTTCGACGCCGTGTTTCGACATCCTTATTATGCTTTTTGATAGCTGACTGGCTTTGTGAAGGATCTAATTCACCGCTTTCAGTATTTGGCCCTTCACGATAATTTTTTAGGCTGTAGTATTTCTCCTTTGTCTCGTTTGTATTAGTCTTGATTGATACAGGCGAAGCGGTTTCTGGAAAAATATCAGTGCAAAGCCAAGTATAGCGCAACTACATGCCTAGTGGAGCAAACTAACTTTTCTGGTTCTTATCTTGTTCGGTAGTATTTTTGTCTTCGATGAGGTCATCATGTGAACTTGAATTAACTTCATCTTTGCTGTATCCCTCAGACACGGCGTAATGGCGAATAGTTGCAGTTATACGATTTGCAGCACATATAGCGGAAGTGGGGTGAAAGCGTATTCTTCTTGAATACACTTTCCACACAAAGAAGTGTCGTGTGGTCTGCATCTGCGATTTGAAAAACTGTTGGAGTCCGTAGTTGAAGCTTGAACAATTGCACAAAAACCACGCCCTAGTAATCAGACCATTTCGGTATATAATACACCTTCCAACCCGAGCAGCGAGATTCAAGTCGCCACATTCAACCAATGACGCCGTTGTTACGTCATCGCTTTAGAGCCATCTTTGGCCTTTGTGAACAATTGCGAACGTAAACTGACCAACTTGTTCTGCTCGCAACAGAACTTGGCTTGAGAACAACAATGGAGAAACCTGATGTAAAAGAGAATTCCTTTCCGAAGTGAAATAGACTGATAATTTCTGTAGCTACCATCCGAAACTGCGAAACGCATTTCGCAAGTGTATGGAAAAGCGCCTGGCGGAGTTGCTTATCATCACAAGTCCCAGGTGAGCCAGCCGTGCTATCTTGAATGAATTTAAATGACAAAACAAGGAGCGAAAATACTTCGACTCTGGAGATTTCGCACTTACTGCAACTGGTAAGGCGACTGATAATGGCGTTCTAAACACTGGTGAAATTCATCCACGCCGCGAAAGTATTTCACGTCCTCATGCCTCGGTTCCCAGGAACAGTAATGTCCAGGAGGACGCCAATGAGAACCTTCAAGACCGAAAGAGTGATGATTTCGTGATGACGAAAAGCCCTTTACATCAGCATACTGATCAGCAGAGCAAGAAGACCGCGAGTTTCAAGTCTCAGGAAAATATCGAACAGATTCGGACTGATTGAATCGAGATGTTTATGCCTTCGCTGCACATTGATCAATAACATGAAACGCTGTCATTTTCCTAAAAAGTGTATTGCCACGGCAGGTTCGCTGCTGCTGTTTTTGTTTCTTCAGTAATGCATCTTCTGTCATGGGCGTGTGGCTTGATTTTTCGTTCCATCACATTAGATGGTAAAATGCATCCATAAATTACATAGGTGATTCGACCAACTGCGTCTTAAGAACCCAGACTTGTGACAATGCAATGCCAAATCTATTTGGTCGCTAAACACGAAGAGACTAAACTGGAGAGAAGAGAAGAAAAAGATAATTACCAGCCCTCTTCTTTCTACTTAATACTTCCTTCTACTTTAAATACCTATAGGCTATTTTTATTGTATACTAATATCTAGTAATTTAAATTTCTAGAAGATTTTAATAATATAGAATACTAGCTAGCAAAAGCTATTTACTCTTTTTAATATTATATAAATCCTCTAGTAATCTATAGCATAAATTAAAATATAAAATAATCTTTATAAAGTATATTTAGTCCTATATCTTCTCTATATATAATTTATTTATAGAAGGTGGCTTATAAGTATTTCTATAATAACTATATATTATTAAGCTAAATCATATTAAGCTATTATATTACCCTTTATTTTAAGTAATATTTATTTTAAATATTAAGTATAATAATAATCTAGGTTTTTCTAAGTAAAAATTATAAAATATTTTTATAATATTTAATATATTCTTAAAATTTCCTTAGTTAATCTACTATTATAAAGACTATATTAAAATCATATTTATCCTCTAAGTAAGATATAAAATCTATTAATATATACTACTATAATCAAATAGATATAAATAATAGCTTTAATAATTTTAGTAGTAAGTTTTTATATATATTTATCCTCTTATATATAAGATAATTATTAATATATTACTTAAGATTCTAATTCTATATCTTTTAATAATATTTATTCTCTTAATAACTTCTTTATCTTATTCTTTCTAGAATTAATAATAACAGATTATTAATATATCTTATCTAGTAATTATACTCTAAAATCTTTCTTATCTAACATATAAAGTTGTCCTTTAAATATTAATTAATTATTAATTAAATCCTAATTAGATCTAAGATTCCTAGTCATCTTATAATATTTTATAACCTTCTAACTCTTCTAATTACTCTTTAGGATTCTAACAACAATATATAGTATATTATCTATAATAATTAAAATTTCTAACTTAGATTCTATTTTTTATATATAATCCTAATCTTAAAATTCCTTCATAATCTAAGGGTTAGGTTAGCTAAGAAATAACAATAAGGAATCCTTTTCCTTAGATTATTAATTATCCTTTATATATTAGATTGAAACATTAGCTCTCTTATTTAAAGGTTTAGATCAATATTTAATATAAAAAATATACTTAGAAAAGATTTCTAATTATTATACTTATCTATTATTAAGCTTTTTTATTATCATAAAATATTCTAAGGCTTAATGATTAGTAAGAATTTAGATAAATTTATTTCTAGTTAATTCTTAAAGCTCAGCTCACCATATTTCTAAGACTTATACTATTATTAGCATTTCTTAGTTATAAATATCATATTTAGCTTATATAAAATCTATTATTTTAGAAAAATAAGCTATTAAATATCACTTATTATTAATATATTATTAAAATAATACTACTATAATAATTTCCTCTAAGGCGTTAGTTTCTAATTATATTTTTAAATCATACTAGTAATACTTAAGAATTAAGACTAATATCAATTTTTTCTTAAATTCCTAGAATACTACTCTATAAATATTACTCTATACAAAAAGTATTCCTGTCGGAAACTTCGGTTGGATTACCGTCGAGTATAGCTAGGATAGCTATTAATGGGCGAAGTTAATAGGCTTCTAAGGTTGAAAGGTTAGGTAAGATGAAAGAAATAAAGATAAGACTTCTAAATATTCTAATTAATAGAAGATTGTATATTTAAGTTATTATAGTTAATTTAAAATGATAGAAGAAAACTAAATATAAAATAAAAGAGTATCTTTATATAATTTTCTTTTATTATAGCTAATATAGTTATTGCTCTATTTATTTTATTCTTATAAATATAATTAATATAATTATAGCTTTATTAGCTCTATTATTTTAATCTTAATAGTTATAGATAATTCTTTATTTTATTATATATTAATTTCTCTTATCTATTAGTTATAATATTCTAATTTTCTGATAATCTTCTTCTCTAAAGACTAGCATCTTAATAGTTTAATAAATAATGCATATCTTTTAGATATATAGGAAACTAATTCTAACTTTTAATTTCTATAATATATAATTCTATAATTTTATACTAACTATATCTTTAAAGTAAAATATTAATAAGAATAATCTTATATTATATATTAAGTAGTTTAGTATAAAATTATCTTTATCTTATCTTTATTACTCTTTTTTAAATAAAATTTATATAAAGTTAGAAATATTATTATATTATAGTAAATATATAAAAAATAATTATTATAAATATATTCTAATAATTTCTTTTAATCTTATATAGAAGAAACTTTTTTATACTTAAGAATATCTAGAAAAGAATAATAATAAAATAAATATTAAAATTAAAGTCTTTCTAATAAAATATACTTATTTTAATAAATAATAAAAGTTATTATAAAAACATGCTAGTTAATTTATCCAGTCTAATATTAAGGATATTAAAGAGTTGGAATAATTAGAAAAAATAAAAAAAAAGATGAAAGTAAAATAAGTAAGAAAATAATAAGAGACTAAAAAACTTTTTATTATTATATTTACTTTGTAAAATAATAATTTTATTTTTTATATTAATTTTAATCTTTCTATTTTTCTTAATTATATTTCTATCTTTATTTTTAAATCTTTTTAAGATAATTTAAATATCTAATAAATTCTTATATATCTTTTTCAGATCTATATCTTTTCTATTTTATAAAATAGTAGATTTGTTCTTTCTTTAATTTATATTATAGTATTTTTTTAACTTTATACTCTTTATTATCTGCTGCTTTATCTTTATTTATTAAATTAGTAGTTAATTCTAATAATAAAATATAAAATATTAGATATATTTATATTCTTATTAATAGCTAGAGTCTAATCTTAATATTTATTATAAAAAATAAACTCTCTTCTTCTTTTTAAGTACTAGCGCGTTCTCATAGTTTTTATTATAATATCTTTCTATTCTCATTTCTACTTATTTAATATCTTTTAATAAATTACTATGCATTAATTATATATATATTACTTAAATATTTACTTTATTTAATATTTTTTTTATTTAATATTTTCCCAACTTATCCTTAGAATTCTTTCTAAATTAATGAAATATAATACTTATCTTATTAATATATTTATAATATTATTTATTATAAATTAAATAAATGATAATAACTTTATTTAATTATCTTAATTCTAATCTAAATAATATCTTAGATATTATTTAATTATTTAAATCATTCTTTTAGTCTAACTATTAATCTGTTAATAATATATTATTAATAGATTATATTTTATTCTATAGTTTTTTATGATTGTTTATTAAAATTTAAATATAAATAGTTTATCTTAGTTAGATATGATTTCGCTTAATAATCTAAATATTATAAATACTTCTTATAATATTAATATTATATATTGTTGTACTATTAAACTTTTTAGTGTTGATTTTAAGATAATATATTTTATAAACTTATTTATAATAATAATAGCTTCAGTATATATGATTTCTAAAATAGGATTTTTTAACTCTAGTAAACTTTATATAAAATCTATTATAATTTTTTATCATATTTTTATTAGTGTTTCTAGAATCTGTATTCTTCTATATGGTTAGTAATTAATTGGTTTATTATAATTATAACTGTTATATTTCTTAATATAATCTTTAACCAATTTCTTTATTCTTAGAAAGTAGTATATTTATTATATCTTTTTTATTATTTAGTCGATTCTATAATATCCTTCAATTAGTAAATCATAATTTATTTGAATAACTTCTATAATTATTAAAAATAGTACTAATATTGATCTTCTTTAAACAGTTAATCTATTCTTAATTACTACTTCATTATTATATAGTATTATCTATAATATTTTATTGTTTCTGGTAGCTTCTATCATTTTTTTGTAAAAACCCTTGCTCTATCATTAGTTTGTGTTGAACCAAAGGATAGTTTAGGGTTACGGCTAACAAAGTTCTCGGGAGCTAGAATACATATAATTAGCTCTGTTCATAGTTTAGGGAAAATTAGTATTATAATTTATTTTTATTTAAAGCTCTTTTATAGTTATTATTTTCTAGATTTTTTTATATTAATATATTTTTTCTCTCTTTATAAATATTTTACTCTTATAATCTAACTAGATCTTTTATATTAATAAAAAAATTTAACTTTTTATTTTATCTTTATATTCTTACTTAATAATAAGTAATTCTTTATATTAAGTATAGCTTATATTATATTTATTATAGTCTTTCCTAACACCTTTTTTAAAAATATTATATTAGATAATCCTAGTAATAGAATATTAAATAGCATTCCTAATATTATAGTATTATTAATAATTTAGATAAAGTAATTTAGCCTTTTAATAGTATTACTAAGATTTATAATCTTTCTACTAGTTTTAGCTTTTTTTATTATATAAAATACTATTACTATTATTCTTATAATACTAGTTATATATAATAATATTATAATTAGAAATATAGATAAAGAAAGTCTTAAAAATTAATATTTTAATATTATATCTATTTTTAGACTTTATTTTAAGAAAAAGAATAGATCTAGTATTTTACTATTATTTTAATTTATTTAATTATACTACTTACTATCTTTTTATATCCTCACCTATTATATATATATATCTATATATTAATACATTTAAATATTAAGCTTTATCCTTTTTTACTATTACTAATTATCTACTTGTCAGAGAATCAGAACGTCAC